AAATATCGAAAATTTTAATGCATTAGACGGCTGGCTTTCGAAGTTTAAAAAGCGTTATAATCTTCGGGAGTACAAACAAAGAGGCGAAGCTGCTAGCGCTCTGATTGACGATCTTCCCCAATTTCGTGACAAACTTACTGAGAATTACCAGCCAGAAAACATCAATAATTGTGATAAGACCGCAGTATGTCGTGTCGCAGTAATACATTTCATAGCCTATTCGTCATAATTAACTATTGATATCAATATCGTATCGTACCTCTTTGTCATATGACCATGAAAGAAAGACCATATTTTCTTGATGCCAAAACTTTTATCTATAATAGTATAAAAATGGTTATTATTTCTCGAACTTAATTGGCATGACAAAGAGTGTGTATAAAATATTTACGAATGAGATGGTAAAGCGCTTTTCGGGCGGCTATATAATATGCCCTCGCCCCTGGGGCCTTGGGTTCCCCGCAAAGATCTACATAAGGAATTACGATAAATGGGTAATGCGAAAATAAAATTAGGTTCGCTGAACAAATAAACATCAGAGAAAAAGTTAGTAAGATGCGATGGAGATGTAACATGAAGAACGAATGAATATCAAAAATATGTCATAAACAGCAAATGATGACGATAGTAAATATACTTTATGCTAAAGAGATCTTGTGCGAAAATACTGTGACTTGACTTAGTGTGATATTGTTATTTATATTACCCGAGTTGGTAAGCGTTTGTTTACAAACGAATAATTATTTGTTGGTTGTACATATCCTTCCATCGATCTTCACACGATAAAATAGCACCAAACGTTTACGGAGACAAACGCACAAATTAGACAATGTGACTTTTTTCAAAGATTAAAAAAGAGTACATTTTAACAGTATTGTAGAGAATATCCTGAAAGCGATTCATCACAAACTTTCAATCGCCAAACGTAGTTTGAAGGTTCATTATAATTTTATGTAAATTCTATAAATTTGTAGAAATAAAGTTAAATAGTCAAAAATTATCGAACAGCCCACATATCATCCGAGTATACAATCGATTTATATAGTAGATCGGTAGAAATACACTTAGCAAATGGTATAAAGATACAACGGCCAGAATAATATTTATTTAAATATTCTAATATTAGCGTTTGAGTATCTGGAGCTAATCGAAACTGACGCGAACGGTGGTCATAATATTACGTAGACAGTATATAATCGCAATTTACACTAATGTCATTTTTAGCTCTTATACAACAACTTTATCGTCCTGTCTTACCTGGTTGATTGCATCACAAACTTCATCCCTTATACCCAGTGTCCATGCGTCATTTGGTTCGAGTTCCAATGACACATTGAGATCAATTAATGCATTCTCATATTGATAAAGCTTGTAATAAACAAAACCCCTTCGACTCAACGCAGACGCGTTAGTTGGTCTAAGATCCAACGATTTATTCAGATCAATCAGTGCATTGTCATATTGATTGAGCTTGCAGTAAACATCTCCCCTTGCTCCATATGACCATCCATTATCATGATCAGGTTCAATCTCCAAAGATTTATTGATATCGCTCAACGCATAGTCATATTGTTCAAGCCAGTAATAAACGGATCCTCTGCAACTCAACGCCCATGCATCGATTGGTTCAATGGACAGAGATTTGTTAAGATCTCTCAGTGCATCTTCATATCTTGTCATCATACGATAGACCTCGCCCCTTCTACTCAAAGTCCATGCAGTGTTTGGACTTAGATCCAATGATTTCGTAAAATCGTCCAGTGCATCGTCATATTTTTTAAGCATACGATAGACTTCCCCTCTTTTCTTTAATGCCCAAGCATCATTTGGTTCAAACTCTAATGATTTGTTAAGATCAATCAATGCATCATCGTATTGATCGAGCCAGTAATGGACGTTCCCTCTTCTCTTTAATGAAAATGTATCTTGCGGTTCAAGCTCTAAAGCTTTGTTGAAATCATGCAATGCGTTTTCGTATTTTTCAAGAGTACAATAAACATCGCCCCTTTTCTTCCATGCAAATGCGTTATTTGGTTCAATCTCCAATGATCTGTTAAAGTCATCCAACGCATTGTCATAGTCATCACACATATAATAAACTTCTCCCCTTCTACTCCATGTAAACGCATCATTAGGTTCGAGCTCCAACGCTCTATTGAAATCATCAATAGCATTATAAAATTGTTTAAGTGCACAATAAACTTCTCCCCGTTTACTTAATGTCCATGCATCATCAGATTCAATGGTCAATGATTTACTGAAATCTCTCAGAGCAGCACTAAAAGCAGTATTAAGAAATGTCCGTCGTGATATACTATTGTGATGCTGTTTATGATTAAAATAGACATCTCCTCTTGTTCTTAATACCCATGCATTATTAGGTTCGATTTCCAACGACTTTGTGAGATCAATTAATGCATCTTCATGTTCTTCAAGCCAGTAATAGAGATGACCTCTTTTGCTCAAAGCCCAGACTTGGTTTGGTTTAACCTTCAATGAACTATTGAAATCCCTCAATGCTTCATCATATTTATCAAGACTATAATAGACATCTCCTCTTCGACTCAATGTCCATGCTTGATTTGGTTCAATTTCCAATGATTTATCAAAATCTTCTAGTGCGTTATCATAATTATGGAGCAAGCGATAGACCTCGCCTCGTGCTCTCAGTGCCCAAGCATCATTCAGTTCAATCTTCAATGATTTGTTAAGATCATTTAATGCATCATCATACTGATCAAGCATGCAAAAGACTTTTCCTCTTCTGCTCAATGCAAATGCATCATCAAGGTTAAACTCTAATAATTTGTTGAAATCTTTCAATGCATTTGCATACTGTTTAAGCTTGCAATAAGCAGTACCTCTTGCTCTAAAAATACATTTGTTGTTTGGTTCAATCTCTGACACTTTTTTGAAATCACTCAATGCTCTGTCATAGTTCTTAAGCACGCAGTAGACACATCCTCTTCTGTTTAATACCCATGGGTTGTTTGGTTCAATTTCTAATGACTTATTAAGATCAATTAATGCTTCATCATACTTTTTGAATACATAGTAAACAGCTCCCCTTCTACTCAATGCAAATGCACTATTGGGTTCGAGTTCCAATGCTTTATTGAAATCACACAATGCTTGTTGATATAGTTTAGCATTGAAATAAATAGCTCCTCTTCTGCTAATTGGCCATGAATCATTTGATTTAATCTCTAATGATTTGTTGAGATAATACAGAGCATCAGAATATTGGCCAATCATCCAGTAAATATCATCTCTTCTACTCAAAGCAAATATGTTATTTGTTTCAATTCCTACTGGCTTATCTAATTCATTGTCATTCTGCTTAAATAACAAAAACTGGGCTTGACCCTGTGTTTTCACTTGCTTGAGCAATAACTTCAACTTTTGATAAACATCATCACTAGTGAGTAGCAGATGTTCAGGATCATCACTCTGGCACTCTAACATGACTGGTCTTTCAGAAGCCAGTTTATCATGAGACTTACTCAACTGGAATCCATTTATATCTGAAGCTGCTGTTAGGACTTTCCATGGTAGTTTTGTGGTGGGTATGTCCTGTGAGATTGATCCTATAAATATGGTGAGCCTTTTCTTATGGTTGTGTGATAATTTATTAAATAGTAATGGATCCGTGTATGCTATATTTGATAATCCATGTAAATGCTTTAATCCATCGAAAATACTCAAACTAAATTCAAGTCTGTCTTTCCGAATCAATGAATAAAAACACTTTTCTAAATGGCTATACAGAGTTTCGTCAGCCATAAATTCAAAGATGCGGTTGCCGGATGTATCTACTAGAATAAAACGAAGGCATTAATTTTGCAATTCGTATATAGTCATGACATGTGTTGCCGACCTTTGTTTAATCCTAGAAATTGAATAATACTTGAAATACCGCCGAGAAACTAGAAAAGTATGTAACGAGAGTAAATTAAGTACATTTTGGCATAGTACGAGTGGTCTATTAGATCAGCATACTTCTTGTTCCTCCGGTCTTTTTTTATTACACAACAACGCTTTGATTGCGACGGCTTTATTAGATTGTCTTGCTGTTGTCCTAAAGTCTTCGATACTGACTACCATTTCTTGTTCCGGATGTAATTTGATATCCATCTCTTTTCTAGTTGTCCTTGGGGATTAGCAATTTGTTAATAGCGTAACGCAAGTCGCAGCAAATTTGTGATACCCCAATTTGTTGTCAATATGATTCGTCTATGCAAGAAAGAAAGGGGAAATCGAGCGGACGGTAATTTCTAAGCCTTCTGTCTTCTGTTGATGCAGGGAACCACGAATAGTTACTACCTTTAGAAGAACAAATGCTCATTTGATTTTGTTCGCAGGCAGTGAATCTGCGCCACATCGGCAATTTTTGATGTCACGAGAACATAAAAATTGACAAGACCCCCAATGAAAAACTCCTTGATTTGTCGATGATGGTAGAACAACCAATTCTCAACAATACAACAACAGAAGTAAGCAAAGTATCGACGACAACAACTACTGCCGATCCAGATATAACAATGGCAAAAGACACATCAATAAATACTCAGGCAACCGCAGAACAACAATCACAGCATGAAGCAGCGGGCGCATCTGTTATATCAGACTTGACAACACAACAGCAAGAGTCAGAGCAACAAAAGCAAAATGAAAATCCGGCTGCCAGAACCATGAGTACCAAAACAAAGAAGAAATTCGTAGTCGGCCTCGATGATGGTCTTGACGCCGATTCTACTGATTTGCCAATATACTCATCTGATGGATCATCGAATTCTCATGTTCACGGGTATCGATCCTTGTCAGCCACCATGTCTCGCACTCAACAGAAACTAATGTTGATGAGACAACACTTTTTAGCTGATGATGAGAATTATCTAAATCATCCTCGCAATCAAGTTAAATTGACCAAGGTTATGGAGAGAATCAATAGAGAGTACGATTCTATTACAATGTTTAGGGATCCGGTGATTGAGAGTTTGCAGAGAGTATTTACAAAGTATGCTCACGATCATCCGGAAGTGTTGGATGATGATTTTGGAGCAGGATATAATGGGAAGGACTGGCTTGATGGAGATAGGGAAAAAGAAAATGACGGTGTTGGTGACGGGTCAGGGTATAATACTATAAGATAAGGAGTAAGATAGAGTTCGAATCACCTCGAATTGTATAAAAGGAATTGTCTTGAATGCACGCTCCGGAGGGAACAGAATATAGATAGCCGTTTTTGTATGATTATAATGATAAATTCAAGTAATTATGTATTTAATTTTATTCGATAAAAACTGACCGCCATGTTTCATGCCAATTTATTAAATATATTATAGTGTGGCAAATGGTAATGTCCCATCATACTAACTTATTATGTATTAAACAGACCGTTCTAATTCATTATCAACTATCTCGTCTCTAAGTATTAATTCTGACTCAATGCCTTGCTGCTATTTTTGTCATTCAATATCAGTTTATTGTATATTCTTATTATGACCTAATTATCGCTATGATAAAAGTATTATCTTAAGAATGGAGTAGTTTCATTTGGAACTTCATCTGGAGCTTCATCCAAATCCGAATCTTCATCCGGAACTTCATCCAGAACTTCAAATGGAAGCACCCTCTCCCTCCACCTCCTCCACGAATTCCATCCATGCCATCCAAATGTTCCTCCCAATCCCAAAAATACCGCAGCAACCAGCCCGATGAACACTCCCACAAACATCTTACCTACACTATTGGTAGCGCGATGAGGGAACAGCACCTTGTCTATCAAGTATACGCCTCCCCCATGCGTAGCACGCCCGTGGTTAAGAATACTAGCGCGCTCTTCTATCTGCCAAGGACCCTTGAGTGCAAATTTATAATTCCCAAGAATTGTCTTCTTAAGTATTAATCTAGCATCATCCGAGTGAAGCGTTGGAAATTCAATTCCATCGATCAGTTGAGGAATATTTTCATGTATAATATGGAGACGTAGTATACGCTCGATGCGATCGCGGTTGGTATAGTTGAGTTTGGCATTGGCAAATGCTTCTTCGGTCGGTACAAGAACGGTGTATGCGTCTGTCGAGTTGTCCAACACTTCTGACAAGTTGGATTTGTGGAACATCTTCAACATTGTAGTCGCCTCAATGCCTTGCAATATTTTTCTGATCGTTATATTGACGTGAGACGGCGTTGCGAAAGAGTCAGTCACGTGTAATACACCATTCGACGTTAGTGTATCGGCTTCTGTAACGCGCGATGTACTGTTTTTGTTTCGTAATGTTATCATGCCATTCTTTTTAGTTATGGTCACGAATGAACCATCCATGGTTTCATAAATTGTTCTGCCCTCGGAAATCTCTCCTGAATACAAGACCCTGTTTATCACATGGAATTTCATTATCGATTGGAGATCGCTGAGGCCAGTAGGATGGAAGAGGTAGTCTTTGACGAGGCCGAGTTTACTGAATGCAGTATTATTTGGGGCGAAAAGTGTTACTCTTGGAATGGAGTTGACAGTCTCGAGTATCTCACTTGCATTGAGAAAAGAGTAGAAAACAGAGAGATATCGATTGGGTGATAAATGATCAATAACAGATCCCGGAGTTTCCATAACCTGATCAATAAGATAAATGATGGAATTGCCAATCTCAACTGTCATTGAAGTAAGTAGATATCAGTCTTTTAATTTATATTCTGTCAAGCTACAATAAAATGTATTCAAAAACTGTACTTACTGGGTTCTCCGATAACAGTCGCATCATTAAATTTAATCTGCCGACTCGTCTCTCTTGGCGTCCCCTCATCATACCACCCATTGTTTATTGATACTTTCACCCTTTGTTTCTGCCCGCCTAGCTGTTCGGACTTCATCTCGCTTCTCACCAACATTCCTGTCTTCAAATCGGGCACCTCCCACTTTCCGGGGAAAATGTGATATTTCAGCAGCAGAGAATCTATTCCACGATCCCCGTCATCATTAGACAGATCAAAGTGAGAGTCCGGTGGCGCGAGGATCGTGTAAGGTGCTGGCGGATCGTCGATATAGTATTGAAGACCAAAGGCAAGAAGTTTATCCTTAAACTTAATTGCGCCTAATCCACAGAGATACTTGAGAATTGTAAAATGTAAGGCAACTGGAGACGACACAGCATTTATTATGTGAATGACGCCTAAAAGAGAAAGATAAATTAAAAATACAAACAATCGTGGAGACATCAGTAATATGTGTATGATCTGACGCAGTTCGCGAAGTAAAACACATTAATAATGCATACTAACCGTTTTCAGCCAACAAATCTTTGAAAGTGACAATGCCGTGCTCGACTGTAATATTGCCTTCAGAAGTTTTCTCCAGCTTCAAAGGCTCTCCCTGTAAAGTGGGCACTAAAAGTATGACATAAATTACACAGCGTGTAAACTGATTGTTTCTCTAAAGATCTTTTCCCACTGTTGTCATTACTGATATATCGCTTAGAATCCTTCCCATCTACTCTCACACATTCCTCACTCTCACCTCTTAGTTATTCACTTCTTTGACTCTCCACTCCCTGTCGGCTTCTCTCCTACGATTTTATACTTACAATGCGACGACCCATAACTAACATCTTCCGAATATTTGACCCCATTGTGCAAGTGATGCGTTAATAGAAAACCCAAATCCGTACTCGCAGGATCGCAAGTGCCAGTCAAATAATCTCTCTCATGTTTCTTGAATTGACGAGTAAACCCATCGTTCGTCGGCGCAAAAATTGTCAAATGATGTCCTGTGGCTAGCTTGTGTTCCAGTCCGTTAAAGTGAATATATTCAAAAAAGAGGGATAATTCTTCTATTAAACGGAGAGTAGCAACTGCGAAATCGTAGAGTATGTGGAGCGTTAAAGAAATGACGCCCATAGAAAGCACAGATCATAGATCTGGTGGTTACAAATTAAAATACACTAAAAATAAGCAGTAATTACGTACGGATGTTTGTTGGCGGAGACAATATATCGCTTATTACATGCACCATGCCTGCAAAAAAACCAAGTTAAGTTAGAAAAACGCTCAGATGTACCAATTCCATAGTGACAATGTTTCACACTACGCTCTATGAACATACCGTTCGTTGCTACCAGATCCTCTTTACTTTCGAGTCTCGCATTTCCCACAAATATGTCATTAGATTCTGTATCAATCCTAATCCTCTGTCCAATATCTCCCTCTCCCAACAATTTATCTTTCACCAGCTTTGTTTCAAGTAACTTGCCACTAATCAGCTTCTCTCTCTTGAACGTTGCATTGGCGAGATGATATAGCATTAACTCACGACTAACATCGGTAGGGTCCTCATAGTCACCTTTGTAAGCAGAATTTGTTGGACAAAATAACGTAACATCTTTAAGACGGTTTATCACTCGAATGAGTTGGGCCCGTTGTAAAGCACGGATAGTGTTCCTGCATTCGGGGTGTTCAGATAGAATGTCGATTATAGTCTTTGAGGGAGTAGTTGGAACGGGGAAGAACAGGAGAATGGAAAAGAGTAGAATGGAGAGAAAGGTTGATAATTTGGACATTTTCTTGCTGTTGAGATCCCAGGAAGGTCTACAAGATCCTAAAGATCAGAGTGACTCATAAACTCTAATAGCCTCCCAAATTTGTTGATTTCAAATGGCCGGGAAGAAAGTAACAAAAGGCCGGGTGATGAAACCTAGTTTTTTGATGATGTGACGTGCTGCGGGATCGAGGCTCTTCCTTATTCAGAAATATTTCCATTCGACTGATTTGGATTATCAATCGCATTGGGATATAATAGCAAAATGCGGACACATTTGATAAACAGTCCCAGTGAATTTTTGCGTGGTACAATTGAGATGTATAAACACGTGATGTAAACCGTTATATTAATATAACCAAATCCAATGAGTGAAAGACAGAAAGCCTTGGCATTGTTGAAAGACACTTTCACTCATAAGAATGGACCATTTTTAAATTTAATATTTTGTTCGCACAACAAGCAGATCTTAAAATGATTTGTATTTGATGACCCATCAATAAGTACAACTTTATTGCTGAAATTTGATCACCCATCAACAAATTTCTTGTTTCATCTCTTCATCTACTCTTTCTGACGTCATGTAGAGAATCATTAGAATACTAGAGAATCATCCTCACCAGAATTCTTTCGATATGCCCAAAACCTGTCTATTGTCTCTTTTGAAGCCATTAATAGAGAGGGTATTCTTGAATGTTGTGATATTGGAAGTAATAAATAGTACCTTAATATTAATAAAAAAGTCTAGCATTGCTAGATTACATTCCCAGACTTGATAAACAATGCATTTTTACACATAATTACAACTTGATGTATTACAACTTTTATAGCTGTATTGTATAAAGCAAGTGACATGCAATTTGAAAGTACTGGCAACTAGAACAAATTAGCTACAATTGCATAGAGAATTTGTCAATATATGAACTGTATTTGAGACAATATTAGTTGGACCTCTCAGTCCCAAACTGATACAATGAAAATAAAGTTTTCAATATCAAAACCATTAATTTAGCATTGCAAACAAATAACATTTAAAGATACAATAACAAACAATACATCCAAAATCCAGCGAGACATCATTTATATTACACATACTGGCAAAAAGTATTTTCACTAGTCATAGTAGAACATAATAAATCCCTTTAGTTTGAAGTTAATTATAATCAAGTCTTATCAAATTGGCGAAAGTAAATGTCATTTAGCACATATGAATTAAAGGAGATACTTTTATATAAAAAGGAGAAGAAGGAGAAGAATAATCAGAAAATCTAAAATTTCCAGAACCAAAAGAATGAGGAAATGGAGCATAATAATTTGAGAAAGAATATCGAAAGTTCAATGAATAACAGTATTAAGTATTTATAGTATGTTACAATTTACATAGTAAATATAATCAATAAAGGTTTGCAGAAAAATAGAGTAACAATTTTCCAGTCTATCCATTAATAACTGACGTGTAAGTAGAAGAACAGAATTTACTTGTCACTCTTTTAAGAAACTATGACACAACAAATAATCAATAGAAAATTTTGGGATAGCGCGAATAATTATTTGGTATTACGTTAACGTAACACACCGTTATTAACCAATAGGAAGAGCACTTTTATTACGTGAGACCGACTTATCGAAGTGTATATACAACTATGAGGTATTGACCGACTTAGGAAATTATAGATTGGCCGACTTATCGAATATTTTAAATAGTGAAAAAAGGGATGAAGACATTTGGCCGAGTTATCGAGAAACCGACTTATCGAGAGACATGTTTATTGTTTATGTTGTGAATGACAAATTGGCGACTTACAGCCGCAAATAGCACCGTATTTATCATTGGTCACACTCTGCATACAATGGAAACAATAGTCTAAAAATACACGCCATTTATTAAGTAAATTAATGTTACCATACTATTACTTGCTACATACAGTAACTAACGGTAGATCAATGACGTACTCACTCACGTATATACAGAAAAAATTTTCCCCCTTAGAATAATATGCTGTCTTCGCCCAGAAAGAAGGGAAAAAGAGCAGCATCGTAAGTCATAGGCTTGAAAACGAGTTTGTTAATTTCACGAAGGTCAAAAGTGCTAGGATACGTCTGAACAATGTCGGGCTTTTTTATTATGTAGTTTTTTGACTGCTAAGTGTTAGGATACGTTTGAAGTCCATGGATACGTCTGGTGGGTTGCACTTTGACATGTCGGATAGGTCTATTAACCATGTCAAGCAATGATAGAAATTTATGATGGAACATAAGATTTTATATCAGGTTCCTGAAATAACAGAGAAAAAAAGTCGTCTTCAATGAGGATATCTGACACTGAGAAGACGTCTCTTGTTATTATGGGATCAATAACCGCCCTACCAAAAACTCGGTGATCCAAGGATCCGAGTATAGGGTAGTGAATCCATTGACAGTAATAAGCATGCGTATTGGAAATCATTAACAACCAAGGTCAGTGGTCACCGTCAGTTGGGGAGAACACGGTAATAAGCTTCGTCACTGCGGCGTTCTTGGAGCAGAGTACGTCATTCGGTAAGAATACATCTCACTTTGCATTAATTGTTTGCTTACAGTCCGATGTAGACTTGAATATTTATTGTTTATTTAATTCTTAGACGTACAACTTACAAAAAACCACGTTCCGATATTTACCACGATTGGACGATAATCGAGACTGGCAATTATGATATTCCCATTCATGCAATTACGCTCGGGCAATTTTTAAGTCTTAGAAATGGTTATCTTCCCAAACCGCTAATGGTAATGAACAGATGACAATGCAACTCGACTGAAATCATTCCAAAGCCATCATACAGATAACGATTATATAACTAAGAAACTTCAACGACGCTCTAATAGTCTCGAAGTGATGACAATCAGAGATGGTCTAAAATCAGCGCATTGCGCAAAAATAAAGGCAACGGAGCCAATATTCACAACTTTAGATGAGACGTTCAAAGTGTTAACATATGTGTAACCGATCATACGATTCTTTTCTATGATTCTTGTCGTGGCTGTCAGAAACGGCTTACAACATAATGATTGAAATAATAGTTATACATAATAGATCTGATACGGTATATTGCAGTATTGATTTTGTGATCACTTTTTTTGTTAACTTATAAGCATCAGATTGTCGACTTTAGGTAACATGGTTGGCATGATTCGAATAAAAACATCTATCCAAGTAATCCGAGATACAGTCAAAGCTCGTTATAATAGAACATTGGGCCATTATAGCATGAGTTCCATAATAGCATGTATGATTTGTTATAGTGTAATTCCATTATATTGTGAAATTTATATTTTCTACTTGATGCAGTTATGCCATAAATTCAGGCATATGCTTTCTGAATAGTTTTTATATTTGGCAGTATAGACTGTTCCATAACCACCATATCCATTTCCTTAATTTCATCAAAGCGTATACTTTATATTCCATAAAGTTGTATGAATTTGTTCAATATTGCACGTATTGCATGGTGAAAAACTAAATATGTAGGCAGACTCGATAAGTCGGTCTCAGGTGATATTCGGAGAACATCATTACTATTTCAGTACAGTCGATCATATACGTTTGTCAAATTAAAACAGTAACACGTCTCAGCATAATATAATAATAACCAACATCTGATTGTATGCTATAATATAACTTACATCCTTATTGTGTGTATTTAACGGTTTTTTTCGTCGTCTCGGCCAAAAATTAGGTTTGGTCAAAAAGCCACATTCTCTTTCTAAACTGGAAAGATTAAGAAAAATAAAAGGATCGTTGACTGTCCCCGTAACGAAGCACCCGAACGAAGATAATTTTACAACAATGATAGTCATGAATGAATAGTTTTTCAAAAAAAATAATAAATAAACATTTAATCGCATTCTACAAAATCATTTTTCAACTTCCTATAAAAATGACAGGCCTGCCTGTTATACAACAATATTATTTTCTTAAAAAAAAAAGAAACAACTTCTCGACTCGGCATTTCAATACCAACACTGATTCAATAACATTCACTACCGGTGAATTGGGTTGTCGTGGAGGATTTCTTTTCTTTTAATTAAACTAGCTTTATATAGTGCATTTATACAGAACTTATTCTTATAGTCTATAATGCTAGCGGTAATAATCTGTTCTGTCCAATTAGAGAAGAAAGAAGGAGAAAACAAAAAAGACAAAATCCTCACAATTGACTGGGCGAAGTAAGTAATAAAGCGAAGGATTCAAAAGTGATTGGACACAAGCAGCAGTATGCATTATTAAATACTTCCAAACCATAAAAGTAATCAAGCTGAAATTTACGAATGCTATATCATATGCACTGTACATAAGACTTTCTCTTTTTTCTTTTCTCTTTTTTGTAGATATTGTATAGTATAGAAACATTGTTTTTTTTGTCCCACTATTAAAAAAAATAAAGCACATACTATACTATATATTAATATCTCCAATTGACTGAAAATTTATTGATGTGCATAATAAATCTCAATACAGACATATAGTCACAAATAATTTATAACAACTACACAAATTAATTCATGCTTGTAACTGAAAATACTTCCCAATCCACCCAACTAAAACTGTCTGTGGTAGACCTTATTGCAATCTGGTATGCTGAATTTTTAGAATAAGGCTTAATAGACTTTCCACTAGTATATAAAGCACCAAACTGTAAGTCAGTACCATTCCCAAAACGAGGATAGCTACCTTGATGTTCAAAAACAGCACGCTGACTATCGACAACAAAACTCACTATGCTTTTATCTGCACTATCTTTATTTAATGAAAATATAAAACTTTCTGATGTTATAGCCCATATACCATTAGTCGGCAATGAAGAGGAATCACTCCAATCAATTGGATTGTATCCACCAAGAATTTCTTCTGTATTCAATACTTTTCCAACAGCTACTGTAGACCCTTTCTCAGCACACATTTTTCGAAAATTTTCATGTGTATTACCATCCCTACTGTGTCTATAAAGTAGGGTAAATTTATATGCTCTTTGACTTTTTCGG